GATATTTTCTGGAACTGCACAGAAAGGTAGTCTGGTGCAGTCCCTCTTTTTTCCTTGGTTTGTTGAAAAAAATAAGTGAAGCCTTGACGCCCACTGGCTTACAGCTGCCAAAGCTTATCCCGGTTTCTGTAGCATGAAGCAGCTAGAAGTATTTCTACTCCCCCTGGAAGGGATGCTAGTCCATCACAGGTCACTCCCCCACAATTTGTTAGGTTTCCCTAGCCAGCAGAACAGATGTAATATTTTTGCGTATTAAAATACGCAAAAAATTACACCTGTTCTGCAGGCTAGGTTTCCCCAATAATTTGCTGGTACCCATTTATGCTCATGGGTGGAGAGAGGCACTGTGAAAGTACACAACACCATGTCCCTGGCTAGGGCTCAAACCCGGATAGCCTGATTCTCAGAAGTCCAAGGTCATTCGCGGTCACTAGGCTAAGGGGAAGCGAAGTGGCCATGAACAACCTTGGATGTCTGAGAATCAGGCTAGAACCTGGACTGCTCAATCCAGAGACAAATGCACTAACCATGAGGCCACTGCACCTCAGTTTGTTGAAACAGAAGTGAAGATAATTATGCATGGGAACGGCATGGATGGAACTGTGTGTTTCCTCAATGATGCTTTTTTATCTTCTTGCTTAACAAGCTCAGGGAAAAGTTCAAGTTGCAAGTAAACTGTAAAGGATATGTTAGTTTGGAAAAAGTAAAACATTTTCACTGGCATGATAGATTTACTGGGTTGATGAAAATACTCTCAAGTTGGCAGCAAATCATCCTCCCAGCTAACCCCCTAACTTCACTTCAGAGCCCCCCCCCCCCTCCCCCTTTTTGAGCACATCTGGACCTGTCATTAAATCTCAAAACTAGCTACCTCAACATCAACTATTTGTGTAGACACATGATATAAAGCTAAATAGGTTCCAGTCAGGTGGTAGCAGGGCAAAGAGGACACAAGCAAAGGAAATTAAATGAGTATGCTTATTTATTTCACTTGTTTGAGTCTTCTAGAAAATAGTAATGTATTTGACTGCAATTTGTGTATTGTATAACGTAAAGTAGTGCAAAGGAATAAAGACTGGTTGGTTCCTTTAAATTTTTTATTGAAAACAAAAATACCAATTAACCTTTCAGATTACAAACAAAAATGGTGAGCTTTGCCTTATTTTCAAATTTACCATGATTTTATTGGCTAGCTGAAGTTTGCAACCCTCGTGAATCATCAAGGGTCACTGGCTAGGGACAGAAGCATATCACCTGATATCATTCTGCTAGGGAACTGTAAGGGTTATGTAATCCAATGGCATAGACTTGGCCTGCTTTACAATAACCTGTTCCCTGCAATCCCAGAATTAGAATGAACATTCTACTTGGCATCTTTGCACATTTATTGAGCATTAGTCATTAATTACCCTGCATTCACTCAGTGTTAAGCTGGTTAGCTCCTGTACTGTTGAGATGGTGGGAGTATGGTGGACCTTCAGCTGAAGCCACTGTGTTGNAGCTGAACCTGGGGTTTGGTTAAGTACTTCACTTCTCTTCTACCCTTTTAATATAAAAAAAATTGAATTTTAACGACATATTAGCCTTAATGATTGACATCATCATTTACTAGTCTTCTCCGTCTCATGGGGGGCATAGGGTGTCCACAGTTACTTGTACCTTCCAGCTCTGTCGATCTTGAGCTGCTCTTTTGACCTCACACCAACTCAAGTAACCTAACCCTAACCCTAATGAACAGCTCAACCAGTATGATAAAGACAAATATCTGTCTGCTAGAACTTGGGCATATTTTTAGCATCTAGGTAAGTTATCTAATGACAGGTGGAAGAGGCCTGTCTTAAGACAAACAAATGGGGGATTATCAATCTCAGCCAAGGTTGTCTTTAATACTTTGTCAAAGGAGATGCACAAAAGCAGATAGTGTGTCACTGACAATACATAATCCATCTTGAAGTTGTACCAAAAAACCATAGTATTAGAGGGTCCCCTATACTTTTTACATGAGGCATGATTGGGCGGTTATTTTCTCATGAATCATGATTTTAATATTATTTTTATATGTGATTCTTGATTAAAGATCTTTTCATGTCCACCTGAACGAATTTTTTATTTAAACGTGACTCGTGAAGTGAAGAGTTGAATTAAACGTGATTCGTGAACCATTTTGTTTTGCATGATGAATTTCTGGCTCTTTTACAGTTTAGAAAATGTATGAATTGTTTTCAAAGGGCTATGGTTAGGTTTTGACCTGACCTGGACTTCATATGGATTGATTGGTCATAATTAAAAATAGACCTCTAATGGTTTTTGAACAAATAAGATAAGGCATTACATCACCTTCTGTTGCATATGCTGACAGACATGACAACCC